AGTCATAAGCTAATGGAACAGTCACTGAATGATTTGTCAACCCTACAGTAAGGGCCTTCGGCCCAGATTTTAGAAATATTTAGGCATTGCTCCATTCAGGGTGTAACTCCTAACTGACTTAGGAGCCAAATTCTCATTTTCAAAAATGAGAAGTGCCTAAGTCAGTTTTGAAAATGAGATGCAGGCTCCCAAGTCAGATAAGCATTACAATGTTGAGCAGAGCAAAGCCTAAATACCTTTTGAAAAACTTATGATTCATCTGACAAGTCATGCTGATCTTTTTGGACACAGATTGTAACTTGTTTGGAACAAATCTGGAACACAGATGCTGTTTATTCAGTTTTGTCAATGATTTTATGCACACAAAGCATGTACACAAACTGTAGTCAGTGATACAACAAGAAGTGGAAAGTGTTCCTTGGTTTATGACTTCTAAAAAAGATATGGAATTGCAGCTGTAACAGGAAATTAAATTGGAAGATTACCAAATGCTGCCAGTGTTTGTCATGTCATGGAACCCAGCAAACATTTTTATCTTTCATATGATGCACAGAATAAGCTCTCCAAGTTTCTGGGTTTTCACATTGATTTAAGGGTATCAAATATGATGAGATCAACAGGTTTTGAAAGCTGTGATTGAATAGTTTGTCCATTCATCTCTTTAAAGTGAAAATGGAAAAAGAAATTGGTGATGCACATCAGTCAAAATGAGTGGTTTTTCTGGAGGAAGTTACTGAAACTAAGCAGCTAGTAGACAGTTACATTTACTGTAAGTTTTCTAAAGTGGTCTTCCACAGGAAATACTTTTTCCAGTGGCTCATTTATTGACATTACTATTTCATGTCTGACCTTACAGGGATTTCATCATGTCAGCAAGCTGTTCCTCAACAGGACAACTTAATGGCAACATTCCTCTAACAAAGTAGGGCTCCTTTACATTACCTGGTGCACAGTGTGGGAATTGGGGGGAATCCCATGGCAGTTCAGGTGTGTTTACTTTGTTGTAGTTTGTTTACACAGAAAATGTCTGAGCTCACTCTTAAATGATGGGGGAGCAGAGTCCTACCCTAGAGTCACTCACTCTTGTCCATTCCTAGTTCTGTGGTAAATGGGCACACAGCGATTATGGTCTAAATTCACCCCAAATTCAATTGACTTCAGAGCTTCATCCAGGGTGAATTTTTTCCCCTATGTGTAATGAGGATTTTTCTGGGTCTGTTAGTTTCTTAGGCCATAGCTTTCTCAGAGATCATATTCTCACTGGCATTTTATGGACCCATTTGGCTCAGATTGGAGGGCTCTTTCCATCTGGGTAACCACTGACAGGCATGGGTCTCAACTGAATGCATAGACTGTCAGATAAACTGCCACCCTGTCGGTGATAGATTCATTACTCTCCTGCATAGGCCTTGACAACGAATAGTAGTCCTAACAGGATGGAAGTGCCTGATATGGTGAATTATGCCTAAAAATATATGCGGCTTTGTTTTCAAGTGACAGGATTAATTTAGGTTGCAGAGTGCCCTGAATGCTTTAGCTATTACTCTGAAAATTAGAACCACCAGAAATAGTTTACTGCAAGGAAAAGACAATGGGAGGGAAGGGAGGAATAAAAGTCAAATAATGCCCTTCAAAGAATGTAGTAGGCACCCTCTGTTGATTTTCCATCTAAAAGATGGAAATCTTCCCTGTTCCTAGCAGTGCTCGCAGAGGCATGGAAAGATCTGATTCCTGTTGAAGTGAAAGAAATTACTATCTTGATAACCAGTACAATGTACTTCACAAACACCATTTGAGCCTGCCACCAGCTGTGAAAGAGTATGTGGAAGAAAAGTGTACTCACCACAGCTGTGCCTTCTTGTGGTGAGCATGGCATGGTGGCCTCTTCTCCTGCTGACAGCCACTCCAGTTTCCAGGGTAAACCAAGTCCAGCACCAGTAGTTTGGCAGCATCATTCTGGAGCCTTGGCTCTAGGGTCTTCATGCCTCTGCCCTAGGTGAATTAGAAGGGGAACCCAGGTCCACCCTCTACTCTGGATGCCAGTCCAGGGACCTTGAATGAAGCAGACAAGGTCTGTTTGTTTAGACTCTGCTGTATCCCTGGGCTGCTTCTTCCCATGGCCCCCAAGTGGGCCTCTCACAGCCTTTTGCTGGACTGACTCGTCTGCTGGTCCCCAAAAAAGGGGAATCAAACAAGTTATGGAGAACAAAAGAAACAGGAAGTGCCACACCAGCCCTCCTGCCCCAAGGAAGCTCTGACACTTAGGAATCTCTAGTTAGACTCTGGCCCCAGATGGCCCTTCCTTCACAGGGCTAGCTGAAGCGGTCCACTACTTCTCCAGTCAGTCATTACTGAATTGGCCTTTTCCTCTTTTGATTCCTCCCTCCAGGCTTGACACCTTGCACAGGTGAAGCAGGATGGGTCTGATTGGGTTCACAGGCTCACATTAAACCCTTCTTGGTCAGTATGGGTTCTGTATACCCCATCACAGGTAGGTAAGTATGAGAGCACCCATTTCACAGGGTGTAAACCAAGGTGTAGTGAGACTGAGTACTTCAGAGTCACACAAGAGTCAGAGGAAAGGACTTTATAAGTGAAAGCTTCAAATTCTGCAGAAGTTATTTACTCTCCATGGTCACCAGGGAAGGCTTGTCCCTAGCAGGTGGGATTATTTCAGGTCATGCCCCAAGTTGGACAAATTGCACTATATGTGTGTTGTCAGTAGGCTATCCATATGACCAATAAGTCCTGAACTGTGTTAATCCCATCCCATAGGTATCCTCAGTCCATTAAGGAGCCCCTACCAGTACCAATGTCTGCTGTTGCCCTGGTGGAGTTCAGTGATTAAGGTGTTTGCAAGAGATCTGCTTCATTCTGAGACTGGTTCCAACTGCACAGCACCATGCCCAGAATCTATATCTGGGAAGCTCAGCCCTTAAAGGCATAGCCCCTAATACCACTGTCCCATGTATAAGTGGCCAAGGTACAAGCTTAAAGCTCTGAAACAGTTTTAACATCCTTCCTTTTTTATGCAGCTATTATAGGGAATCATACAGTCTAAGGGCTTGACCCTTGTCATGGTGGATGGCTACCACCAGTTTTTTCTACAGCATTCCTAAGGAGTAAGCAAACTATGTGCACAGGATGCCATCTTTTTTGGGTATGATTTATTCTGCAAGATTAGATATAACTTGCACCCTTGTCAAATGCAGCACATGCATTATGCAGGCCCCAGAAGAAGCTGTGTGTAACAGTAGGAGGTTAGATCTTATGCGTCTTACACATGATGGGATAAGGTCATTGTCTGGGAGAAGAAGGACAAAATAGAGCAAAAAGGCTGAAAAATATGGAACTTCATTTATTATGTTTAGTGCATAGTGTAGTGCAAGAGACCGTTTTGATGGGCATCAGGTATGGAGAACTTAGTTTTATGTCATGCTGGAGACACCGATTTAGTTTTAACATCAGCAAGTGGCAGTGAAGCATCTTACAGGGAGATTGAAAAGGAAAAAAATATTAGAGGCTAAATGCTGCCCTCCAACATACGGAAACAACTTCTGTTGAAGTCAGTGGGAGTTGCCTGCTTGTATGTGCTTCACATAGAACTGTGATGTTGAAATGCTAAGACTTGAACCTAGTTACCTTATGATAGTCAAATGTAGATATTTTACCTTCAAACAAAGCTCAGTGCCAGGGGTGGTACGTAATGGAAGACACTACAGTTTTGGAGTCAGGGGAGAGGTAAAAGATGTTCCTGATTGGTCAGTTCTTTGTGGACCTGTCAGTATCTCTCATCTGTGACCCATAAGAACTAAATTCTTATGAAATCAAGTTGTCATTCCATCCTTTGTGCTTTTTGAGTCTAATCCTGTTTTAACGGTTTACTGAATACCTTAGGTGATTGATGCTATGGCAGTGAAGACAAAAACTCTGTCATATTTAGTCAACACATTTGAAATGTGCTCGGTGTGATCTTTTTCCTGAGTTCTGAGGAAAATGTTATGGCATTTTTCTCTTGGTTCAATTTAGATATGAAGATAATCTGTTAAATTATTGGAGATTTGGGCAGGGAGGACACTTTTTTCCTCAGTATCTGCAAGGTATTTGCTAAACTATTCAAAATAAGAACAACTTGAAATACAGATATTTTGTGTTTCATTCTTATTTGTAATAAGTTGAGAATTTTGCTTAATAAAGGGGTGCAGGGTCTCAATCTTATTTTGAAACATGAAATTATATGGGAGGAAGACCAACATATTTGGTTACATGTACATTTGGTTAAGTTCAATGAAAAATAACACCATGGGTGTAGAATCAGGTACCCACTCATGGTCAACATGAATATAGCGCAACTCCTTTTACAGTGAAATGGACTTTAAGCCCCAAGTAATTTCAATGCATCATAATGGACCAGCTGCAGTTCCAGTTTTGTATCTTTGCATATGGGTAAAATTTCACTTTCCCTTGCAAGAGGCTAACCTGGACTACATGTTACTAAAGTCACACCTAAGTCCTCACATGGGACTTTTTGGCCTTCTGCCCAGTGGTCAATTTCACATAGTAAAGTTGTTCAAGTACTGCACTTCAGTATAAGGGGGTTCCATTTGATAACTTTAGAAATAAATTACTAATGTTTTATTTCATGAAACACTTTGTGTTTAAATCCTCTGTAGTTTCTTACTGACCACTGTAAATTGGAACACTTGGTATCTGTCTCACCGTGCATCTCTACAATAGAGCTGTGCAGCACAGTCAATTGAAACTGTACAGTGTGTGAAAAGTTTTCGTATGCACTTTGCCAGTATATATTTTGATGTTTCAAAGTCACTTTATATCTGTGCATGCAGGATCCAAAGAATGTCAAGTCAATACAGATCAAAAGTGGTTATGACTTCACTTTTGGTAAACTGTTTGTTTCTATGGAAACAGCCTGCATCATATTTTTTTTCCAGACACTGTCTACATTTTGAAGTATTCTTTGTTTTTCTGTATTTCAACAGGCCTTGAACAGGGGTATCGCAGCTGTTAAGGAAGATGCTGTGGAAATGCTGGCCAGCTATGGGCTGGCCTATTCCCTTATGAAGTTCTTCACAGGTCCAATGAGTGACTTCAAGAATGTGGGTTTGGTGTTTGTGAACAGCAAACGAGACAGGACCAAAGCCGTTTTGTGCATGGTTGTGGCTGGTGCGGTGGCTGCTGTATTTCATACCTTGATAGGTAAGCCTTTCTCACTATTTACTAAGTTACTGGATGACTGGTTGACTTTGCTTCCCCATCCCATCCCCCAGAGCTGCTTAACCTGCAGCTCTCCTCACACTTAGAAATGAAAACTTAGGAGGAACTATGAGATTGTCTTGTGGCTGGAGTTCTGTCTAGACTACAAAATGTCACTGTTTTAGAATGGTAGATTCCATCTGTAGTTCTTGCTCATGCGCAAATATACACCATTCCTACCAGTGTGTGGTTGCTCAACTTACCGCTGGCCTGTTTCATCCGTGTTTGGCAGTAGCACAGTTGTCAGGCTGGAACCAGGTTATAGCACTGTCATACTGCTGTGCAGATGGGATTCGTCTGTGTAAATGGGTTTCCCGCTTCTTTTCTGTAGGCGGCCATCACAATGTGTTATAAGAAGTGCTTTTTTCCTTCAATCAGGACTTCCTAGCACCTTTAGTAGATACTTACATTGCCACCCACATCACAGTAGGAGCACCTTAGTATCTGTTTCCCCCATGCCAGCCTTTTCATAATGATAAACTGTGTAGTAAAGAGGATCAGACAGGCTGCTTTAAAAATAACCAGTATTACCTTCTGTTAGCCGTAGTCAAAGTTTCATTGTCCATTTCTGGTGGATAGCTAAGCTCTTGCACCAGCTACTACAGACATCATGTCTTGCAAAACCCAAGAGCCACTGGCAAGCGAGACCAGGACCCTGACTGGAGCAGGGAGAATGTACAAATAGACCTGGAGTTGGCTAGGAAGAAGTTAACAATATTTGCAGATTTCTGCCATACCCACCAAATGTGATTTTGAACTGAGTATCAACCAGTATGATGGAATATTCAAGGCCATGAAGGTTTAGTTTCTGAGAACATTAGACCACAACCAAGAGCCTAGCAGAAATTGGACCTCATGCATCTTTAAGAGCTACCAGCTCTGGTGCCCCAAACAACCTCCAACCCACCTCACAGAATGGAGACTGATGTAGCCCTTGCAACAAGGAAAATGATGAAGAGGAGACTGAGCAGGAGGAAGAAAGTGAAGTCCCTGTAACAGGTATAGTGTTTGGTATTCCTTGTATCTATATGCTGTCGGAGGGGAGGGATGGGGAAGGAATGCAAGGAATGTGAATGGACTCGGGCAGCCATCTGGGGGCCTGCTGTTCTCTAGAAACTAGGCAGGTGTTTGGTGGCAATATCTATCGCTGTATGTGGAGCTACAGAGGGTGGCCTGCACATGGGACCCATTGTTCATTGTCAGGCTGTCAGTATCTCAACCACCACACGCCCTGCAAGTCATCACGCAGGCCCTTGTACTTTCTGTACTTGCATAAGAGCCTTATGGAAGAACAGATGTCCACTGATGTTATCTCCTGGCTTGGTGCCACCTTTTAATCATGCTTAGCAGCCCTATGACCCTTTAAACACGCAGAAACAGGCACCCAATGTTAAGACATCTCATGTTAAGACCATGGCCCCACATGTTAATTAAAAGGCTAATTTTACCCTTTGTTGTTTTTATGACCGTATGTAGGCAATGTGCTTATTGGCTGCAGTAGCCCTTTGCCAAGGTCAACCTGTCACTAATTTAACAAGTTAAAAAACCATCAGTGAAATTAATTCATTGATCTCCCTGACATCCACAGGCCACCTCAATGTATGAGGGTGGCTCAGGATTTTGTACTGAAGATTATAAGCAGTCAGTGTTGTAAACCCGTATTCATTTGCAAGATCTGCCATAAGATTTCTTGGCTTGGATCTTTCACCCAGCCTTGAGATGGTCTTTCAGTTGCCCACCTTGTCCAGTTTGTGTACCAGGTTGAACAGAGGGCAGTTTTACCATCTGGGAAGAGTTCATTTTTCTGATCCATCTCATTTTGGTTTTAAGCCATGTGGGTTCCTGCTGACTCACAATAAATCAGCCAGATTTCCAAGCTGAAGGCTATAGATTGACTGCTTCTTAGATACTTGGGGCTTTTGGTTAAAGATGGCTGTGGGTAGTCATTTCTAAACACGCTGGTTGAGTTACCCGAGGTTTGCTGAACTACAGAGCACTGCTGTGGTCTGAACCTCTTACGCCCAATGTTTCCATTTATGAAGAGAAAAAAAATCTATAGCTATATAAATATATACTTGCCAAACCTTAAAGTCTTGAGTGAAGGGGCTTCACTCAATCTTCCAACTGTACATGGTGGCAGAATGTAAAATATTTTGTAATATTTTAACATGTGTATGCCTGAAAATATATGAAGACCACCTCTGAGAGTGGAGGACCCAAGACAATGGCATTAGTCATATTCCCAGCACTAAATCATTGTGATGCTGCTAAGTTATGTCTCAAGTTCCCTTTGAACATGTTTTAAAACCTGCTTATTCCTTTCTGACCCACAGATGTACAACCTCCAGAGTGGGGGGGGGGGGGGGAAGAAGAGAAGGAGGAACCAAGTGATAGTCTGGCAGCTGGTCTTCAGCAGCTGTGAGATTGTCACAAACTTCTGCCAGGAAGCAAAAGGCCCAGGGTATTGATGCTCAACAAATGAAAAAAATATCTCCAGACTGCAGTGAGATTCTCTGATGTAGTCTGTAGGTGAAGAACAAGGGAGGATGACATGTCTGTCCTTCATGGAGTGTGAGACTCAACCATGGAAGAACAAAAAACCCTAGGGAACAAGAGAAGAGTCTTGTTCTTGGCTAAGAAGAGTCAGAGGGAAGAAGACAACAAGTGGCAGTGGAGGAGGAAATGCCCATTTGCAGCTATGATTGAGTCTATCAGCAGCACTAAGACAGAACTGACGAAGAGCAGCCCCCACTCCTTTAAATGCCAAAACAGACTGCTTCAACCCTGTGACTCACTTACTTCCTTCTCCACCAGGATCTCCTTTCTAGCCCCTCACATGAGCCACAGGAATCCTCTATGTGGGTGTCCAACTGAGCCAAACAATCCAGACTCACATCTGCAAGCTGTGTGTATCTTGTACTTACACCTTCCGCGCACCTCCCCCCGCCAAATCACCATAGTATGAGAGCCTCACCAACAATTTTCACAACACACCCCGGGCAAGTAATATGAGGAATTGACAAAGTCAGTGACTTGGCCAGGATCACCCAGGAAAATGATGTCAGAGGTGGGAATTGAAACCACATTTCCTTCCCACTTACAGTCCCAGTCTAATGCCTTAGCCACAAAACCATCCTTTCACTGGCCATTTCAGTTTAGAGCTAGACATTGAAATGTGTGCTCTATTCCTTATCCTGTGATGTTTTGGGGTCAGCTGCCACCACCAGTTAATTAAAGTATAACTTTGTGGGAAGTCTGTTACATCTTAGGGTATAAACAAGCTGTGACTTACTTCTGAGTATTTTGTAGGAGTAGCATCTGGGAAGGAACAGTGTGCTGTGAGGGAAGGAATATGGTACAACAGAGGTCTCATGTATTGCATGCATACAAAAATTTGCTACATCTTACCAATATTAAACTTGTCAGAGAAGGGGATTCATTTATATTACAATTCTCCATTTTATCAGCTACTTGGCAGCTGTTCTGTACTAACTGGGACCTGTTTAATATTAGCTCCATGATAGGTCATTCTGCATCTTCCCCTTTGCTGTAGACACAATAGCACAATTCATCCCTTATCAGTAGAGCTCTGCAAATCTGCAGATATCTGCTTTATATCTGCGGATATCGATGGACCATGTTTGCGGATCGGATACCGATATAAATTCTGTATCCGTGCAGGGCTCTGCTTATCAGATGTCCTGTTTTGGCACTTGTTGCCATTTAATTCACCCTTTCTCAGCAGGAGTTTCAAGATGCTGGGATAACACTCTGGCCATTTCTTTTCAGTTGAATATATGTTACATTCGCCATTGCTGAAGTTCTAGGAATGACAGAAACTAGCAGTAGCTTTGGAGATGCAGCTAAAGTCATAGTCCCTGTGACTAAGTAGACACCTCTACATCCCCTTCCTCTTGCAAATGCACACTGCCACCATTTTGCTCCTGGTGAGGCAGTAGATGAAGTGTCACTTGTCAGCTTCAGCACAAAGCAGAACTTCAGCAGCCAGGCTAACAGATGGCAGGCTGAATCCCCTAGCAGCTCGTAGCAATGCCATTCATTTTCCATTGTGGTTGCAGGCACAGGCCCCTATCCTGCAAGCACCTGCACAGGAGAGTGGCTTTACAGTTGTTAATAATCCCCCTGGACTCCATGGGACTAATCACATGCATAGCGACTGGTGCATGAAGGATCAAGGGCCTGGTTTCCAACTAACACGGTCAATAGTTGTTAGTGCCAAAAAATGTAGTGTGTGAATGAAGGTTAACTGCACCATTTTGTGGTCAGTCAAGTTCTAAACATGCCCACCTGACTAGCGGATACCAAATGTTCTGCCACCTGGCATAGACTGGAACACTGACCTGACCGTGAGTCAGGTTATCCAGGTTCTTCTCATCTTAGAAGTCTTTTCATAGACTTCTGGTGGGATTCTTGTTCTAATCACCTAGCCTATCATTAAAGTAATCATCATACATGCCTACTTTGCAGGGGGTGATAAGACAGAACTCATTAAAAAGGGTATAATTCATTGACATCCTGAGATGATGTTGCTGTAGCAGTAGCTAACATTAACAATTTACATTTCTGCTAATTAACTTAGTCATTTTCTCCCCAACAACATAGTCACAGAGCAGAGAAGGAATGGAGTGAGCCCAGACTCAAATTTGGTGTATTTTTTGGCCAGTTAAAATGAATCTTACTTTAAAATTGGAACAGCTATATCTGGAGTGTTATGAGGCATTAAGCTGTCTGAGAAATCCTCAGGCATTTCCAGATTTTGAAGAGCTCAAAGAATACAGTGTTCCAACTTTGTGGCACATCTACCTGATGACAAGAAGTTTTTCATTTCACAAGTCTACAAGAACAGTTTATTTTTAAAATTGGCATCAAAGTAGGAAGATGGACTATATCCAGATAATTCATCAATTAATCCAAAGCCACCTGTGATATTTTCCTAATACAGCTAATATTTATGTGTGGCTTTATGTCTGAACATTAATGATAGCACCTCCTGAGAGGGTTATTTTGTTTCCTTTGTGACACAAGAACAACGTGCAGGATAGTGGATGACCCCAGAATGACTTAACAGTCGTGCCATTTGTTTAAGACTCTGCTGTCATTAATACAGTTTATGCATGGGTCAGCCAAGCTCCAAGAGCGTATTCAGTTGTGCATTTGTTTCAGGGATGTCGACTGTGTGTGGGCTATTGGTTGGTGTTTTATAGAAGCAGCCATAGGGAAGATGTTCCATTTATATGCACGATATTCTACTAGTCAGATAAATCCAATAGCGGAAAATGCCTGTCCTTATGACTCTGAACAGACTCGTATAACAAAGAGCCAAGCTAGAGTTTTTACTTAAATGCAAGCAGCAAGACCAAACTGTAGACACATGAAAGTGAATCTGTAGAAATTGTATGAGTTATCACGGGAGAACAAAACAGGCTGCTGTATTATTAATTTTATATTGTGCTTCATAATAAGTTCAGCTGGCTTGTCAAGGTTACATTCTAATTAATCAGAGATTGCTTTATTCACATTTGAGAGACACATGCCTGAATATTTATCAGTAAATCTTAGCCGAGAGCAGCCTGCTGATATCCTCTAAGGATGAAAACAGCTTTTTAGTAACATCACCAAAAGTGTTTGTCACCTTTCACTTACATGCGGAAATTAGGTTAACTGTTTTAAAGCTAACATTAAGCTCAGCTGTTATGACTTCAACAACAATGTCAAAAATTCAGTAGGTTTTTGTCTAACGTTAAGGGATTTCAGTGCTTGTAAAACATGCCAGATTGAAAGCCCTGGAGAGTGAAGTGCTCTGTCTAGGGAATAGGTCCTTTTTGGGCAGAAGCTGTACAAGCCTCTCCATAGTGCCCTGCCAATGTGCTCCAACACAGGGTTGGAGCACACATTTCCAGGAGTCAGGCGGGTTCCGTCTCCATGCTCATCCAGTCCTTGGCCACTAATCGAGGTTTTTGTGACCATGCACTTCTTTTTTTAATCTCTATATCTTCCAGAGCCAAGATGGTTGCTCTACTGCCTGCTTTTATGGAGGTGGAGAGGAGGGGGAAAAAAGAGAGGGCTGAGAAAGTGGAGAGCCTCTTTGCTGAATGCTCTCTCCATCCTCAGTTGCTCATGGAAGCCCCTCTGCAAGAAGTGGGTCCACAGGACACAAAGGGTGCAAAGGGCAGGAAGGGACAGGGTCAAGAGGATATATGTCCCTGTAAGGAACTTAACACCCTGTAGCTCCTGCAACAGTTTTAGCTGTCTCACTACATGGTTTTAGTCTATAGGTGTGGATGGAACCTACCACAGACCTCACAGAATCTGAGTGTAATGAAATATGTTCTTCACGTCTCTTCCAAAGTTGCACAAGCTCGTTCAAGTCAGTTTTTATTTTAGGGAGCAGACATGAGGTGCTGCTCTGCAATGAAAGCAACAGCATTCAAAGGAATTGTAAAAATCTGTAGGTAGCACACACTGTTTACAAAGTATTGAGTGAAAAGTTAAGTGGACACATAGATATTTGTTTTTAAAAAATAGCCACAGCTGGTATCAGTTGATATGCGAAAATTATCACAAAATGAATATTTTAAGACAAAAGAACTGAGGCGACCTGCCAGGACTCAGGAAGTAAGGTTAGAGTTCTATTTTACAGAATGGTTCCCTGGTACTATTCAAAAGGCAAGTAGGCTGATTGTTTGGGAGTGACTCTAAGTACAGCTTGGCGATTACTAGGGTGATCTGACAGACTGCAAGCCTAGCCATAATAATATAGATAGCAGAAATTTCATAAGGACTAAAAAACAAGTATAAAATGGAGGTTTTATTTGTTTATCCTGCTTTGTGTTTTCCCAGCCTTCTGGTGGAAATATGTTGCCCCCATTCCTGTTTCTATCATTAGATCTAGTTGTCATTACTTGCCCATCATTTTAGAAGAGTGTTATAATGAGAGATAAACCTTTCTTTGAATCCCCTAACCTTGTGACACTGTTATCACTCAGTAATTGCAAAACAATGCTAGGCTCAGTTCCTCCGACTGTCCTCAAACATTGTTCTATATTCAACAAAACTGAGGTTTTGTGGCTGTGTAAGCAAATTTCTTTCCTTCTTGAGTAACCTGCCAGTTCCATTAGGATAGCTGGTTTTAGGCTAGAACAAAGCTGGATTAGACCACCGGTATTAACACACATGAATTGGATAATATAAGCAAATGTATAAAGGATGTGACATGCTGTTAAGTATCTATGTATATCTTTTGTAATATAGTGAAGGGTATGCAAAAAAAATTGCAATAATAGCATGACTTGTCAACCTTAACGCTCTTTTAACAGTTTTTTTTAAAATGTAAGGTTATACATCTTTATAGTGGTTTTTAGACTCATAGACTTTAAGGTCAGAAGGGACCAATATGGTCATCTAGTCTGACCTCCCGCATGATGCAGGCCACAAAAGCTGACCCCCCCACTTTCCCTTAACTCAGCTGTTGAAGTCTCCAGATCGTGATCTAAAGACTTCAAGTTGCAGAGAATCTTCCAGCTTGCGACCCCTGCCCTATGCTGCGGAGGAAGGCGAAAAACCTCCAGGGCCACTGCCAATCTACCCTGGAGGAAAATTCCTTCCCGACCCCAAATATGGCGATCAGCAGAACCCCGAGCATACAGGCAAGATTCTCTAGCCAGACCCTCATTTTACCAGCGATGGCCGTTATTGCCTAATAGACTAAAATCACGTTATCCCTTCAAACCATTTCCTCCATAAACTTATCTAGCCTAATCTTGAAGCCAGAGAGGTCTTTCGCCCCCACCGTTTCCCTCGGAAGGCTGTTCCAAAATTTCACCCCTCTGACGGTTAGAAACCTTCGTCTAATTTCAAGCCTAAATTTCCCCACGGCCAGTTTATATCCATTCGTTCTCGTGTCCACATTAGTACTGAGCTGAAATAATTCCTCTCCCTCCCTGGTATTTATCCCTTTGATATATTTAAAGAGAGCAATCATATGCCCCCTCAGCCTTCTTTTGGTTAGGCTAAACAAACCAAGCTCCTCGAGTCTCCTTTCATAGGAAAGGTTTTCCATTCCTCGGATCATCCTAGTGGCCCTTCTCTGTACCCGTTCCAGTTTGAGTTCATCCTTTTTAAACATAGGAGACCAGAACTGCACACAGTACTCCAAGTGAGGTCTCACCAGCGCCTTGTATAACGGAAGCAGCACCTCCCTGTCCCTACTAGAAATACCTCGCCTTATGCATCCCAAGATCGCATTAGCTTTTTTCACAGCCACGTCGCATTGCCGACTCATAGTCATCCTGCGATCAACCAGGACTCCGAGGTCCTTCTCCTCCTCCGTCACTTCTAACCTATGCATTTTTAATAGTTATTGGGATTTATTTTTCTTTCCCCACCTGTAATGTTAGGATCTAGTACTGAGAGTCCAGCTATATTGGCCTTAAATGAAAAGGAAGTTGTCACATTTTAGAAATCTCTAAAATTGTGAAGTTCAAAGCCACTTTAACGAACATCTTAAAAATAGCTCTTACCTAAGGATGAACCAGGACTAGAAACAGGTGCATTGCCCACTGAAAAGTTGGAATTGTGCAGTTTCCATTAGCACAGATAATCCATTTCTAGCCTTGTGATATATTAGCCCTTAAACCATGGAAGGAAAGTGACAGCCACCTGAGGCTGCCCCAGAGGTTTTGCAATGTTAGAACAAGTGTCAGTAGAAATGATTAGCGGACAAGGTGAAGGGGAGGTTTGTTGCATGCCTTTATAATTCATCATGTGATTTCACTGTTTTGTACATGTTTGACAGGTAGTATTATCAGTGTTATATGGTGCTATGTGTTTTATAAACTTTTAAGAATACTTATAAGTTTATTCTCTAATATGTACCTGCAAAATACATTGAAAGGCTGTATTCGTAAGACACTACAAAAAACCCTGATTAGGAAGAGAAGGTGGGATTTTCAGAAGTGCCTAGAGGTTAGATGCCTAACTCACATGTGCTTTTGAACATTCCAGCCAGAATCTGTCAGCTTAACCAAATTTTTTTTTTTTTTTTGCCATTCTTTTATTTCTGCAGCGTATAGCGATTTGGGGTATTACATTATTAACAAGCTGCACCATGTGGATGAATCGGTGGGAAGTAAAACTAGACGGGCCTTCCTTTATCTTGCTGCCTTCCCTTTTATGGATGCCATGGTGAGTGTCTGGCTCAGAACTGAATTTTAGTTGTCACTTCTCTCTGGGATGTTCCCAGCTTATCGAACCCAACTATTTGACAGGTATTTGGAGACGCATTGAAGGAGAGCTTGCCCATGCAAGTAATTCCTCTGCTCTATTAAAGATTTTGCAGACTATGCTACTGATGTATACCTACACCCCAGTCACTTTCTCCAAATAACTAAGTATGAAAAGAAGTGGCATCAGTGAGTTACTTTTTAAAGGCAGGATTTTGTAGCAATATTCAATATACCCATTAGCCAGTGAGATCAGAGCTACATTTTATACACAATGAAAGCTGGTGAATAAAAAGAAAACCTATTACTTGGATTTGTTAGAACTCCAATAACACCCTCCCCTCCCCCCACCAGGAATAGAGGCTGCTTCTCATTACTGTATTCCCTTCTCAGCAGCTACTGTACAGTCATTTAAACCGAGCCTCTCTCCTAGCCCTGGCAAAGAGTTAAAAGCTGCAGTGTCTTCTCTGTGTTATTGGCCTAGATTTGTTCAGATTCACATGGGAGGCTGACTCAGATGTAGGAAAGAGCTTCATAAATGGTTTGTGTAAAGTTTAGCAGTAAGAAAGTAGTCAGGGCTCGGAACCTGAACCTAATAGATGTATCCATGTTAGTCACTTTCTAAACAAAGTTCTGTCCTTTACAGGCTTGGACCCATGCTGGCATTCTGTTGAAACACAAGCACAGTTTCCTTGTGGGATGTGCCTCCATCTCAGATGTCATAGCTCAGGTAATGACTCATCTCAGCAAAAGTTGTGCCTGCTGCACTATGGGCCAGATCCTGGCCCACGCTCTGGGGGCCTGTAGCTACTCTAAACAAGCATTTGAGGTTTCCTCCAGCATGTCAAAACTCCTCACTGGCTTACAACCTGCTTTACGCCTTCCTCCCAGCATGCTGGCAGAGGCGGGGTTGTACCTGGAGCGTGCTGTACTTTGGCAGTCCACAGGGCATAGAGGTCCCTCGGTGGCAGTTGTAGCTGAGGCTGCTCTCACTTCCACACAAGTCAGAACTCCAGGAATGGGGAGCCAGGATGGCTTGGTTTAATGCAATGTCTCACTGCAGCTATGCCCTTCCTGAAAGGACAGGAGTTCAGTGAAACACAATGGCTGCCACGTGTTCCAGGATATGGTATCTTTATACGAATGTTACTAAAAATTTTAAGCTCTTTTGGGGGAGGGACTGTCTTTTACCATATTTTTGTACAGCTCCTAGCATAATAGGGCTGAAATCCTGAGTGGGGCCTCTAGACTGTACGGCAATAAAATATATATTTGATTCCTCAGTTTTCCCTTCATCCCTCAATTATGCATTTGTGGATTAACTTGGTGAAATTCCAGCCATACTGCAATAACATATGCTGTCTCCCGAGTGTGAGGATAGCTCAGCAAGCAATATTCTCGCTACAGGCCCTGAATGTTTCATGTTCAAAACTGCCGTCAGAACTTAGCTTAACCACTTTGGTGCTGCAGTGCATTATTAGGAAGGGTCCTGCATTGTTTCAACTTCCATTACCTGAGTGATGTGTTAAACATATGTCCCCTTCATTCTGCACTTTACTAGACATCCATTGTAGAAAGTCATTTAAATTCATGTTTGATATCGAGTACCGATATTGCAGTTCTCATTTTTAAAGCGCTTAAACTTTTACACAAATTTAGCTTCACAGCACCTGGTATGTAGGCCAGTGTTGTCATTCTCATTTAGTGGCGGGGGAAGTGAAGGCAGAGACGGAGCATGTGACTCGTGCAAGGTCAGAGGGAATCCGAACTCAAGAGCTCTGGGCTCCGAATCCTTCATTCAGTTCTATAGATCACCTTCCCTCTATTAAGTAAAAACAATCATATACTGAAGGGTTAAACCTTTTGGTCTGTTACCCTACGTTAGATACTCATTTTTGCACTGTATACCATGTAGAGTGAAATCTCTGCAATTAATATAAGTTAGAAGTAATTATAACAAGCTAATTTAATAACAAAGAAATCCACTTAATGGGTCTGACTCTCATCTCATTCTAGAGTGACCCTGGAAGTCAGTGGTATAAGACAGGTATGAAATCAGAATGTAGCCAGCTAGGCCTCATTCTCCATGTTTTTGCATCTTGTCTAGTCATTCAGACCTGAGCAAAGAGATTATAACACTACCATCTTAATCTGGCAGTGCTTTAGATACACACACTTTGCATAAGGGCAAGTTGACTAAACAAGGTGTAAGGCCATTGAAAATGAACTCCACAATATCCTCTTTCTATAACAGAATACTTATGGGACAAGAGCATTTCCAGAAGGGCAAAATCACTGACCGCTGGACTTCCCTGCATCAGTTGACACTAGCAAAGTGAACATAAGCAGTAGTAACATCTGTTTAATAAGAACTTTGTTACCTGTAGTACTGAAGATGTGATTGATGGTTTTTGTCCTGAGCCCTTTAATTCTTTCCTCTCTTGAGCAGCTTTAGGATAAGCAACTTCATTGAAAAAATTTCCACAGTAGCATCCTAAATCAGCTGTTTTGCAATCCTCCTATAAACAGCATTACCAGCCTAGTAAATACTTACAGGTGTTTATTTCTTTTTAAAGCAAGACATACATTAGGTGTAATCACTGTCTGCACACAATATAAAACCAATGAGAGAAGGATGTATTTAGTACCACAGAACCATGTATTTAGTAAGCAAACCCAACGCCGTGTGTTCATTCAGAACTCATTGTAGTCCCAGCCCCTGCCAATAGAGTCATTTTCCGTTCTTTCAGTCACAGAACCATGTCAAGCAGGCTTCCCAATTTTCCCCATGGAGAGACCTCTGGAATTTAACTGGGATGTTCAGGCTCTGTGATGAATGTGAAAGAGTTAAAGTTATTATCTTAAATGCTAAAATCCAGGAAGTGTAGTGGGGTTGATTCTCACCGTAATCTGATGTATTCCTGGGATTTGGGATTTAGTATTAAAGTTTACCAGTTAGAATTATGCCAAGAGAAAACCCAGCTATCTTGCTTGAAGCCAGTGCAAAGTTCGAACTGAAGGGGGATTCCCTTCTAACCACTGAGTTTTAAATACTGAAAAATCATATTTGACTTGCTTAAAGAGTCAAAGAAGTCCATGTTCTTTTTAATATGACTTTCAAAAAAGAGACACTTAGAAATTGCTATTGAAATCATACTCACTAGCAAAATGGGTCAACACCATGTGGAACTGGTTAGGCTACTGGCCACCTGGAACTCACTCCCAACACCAAGACTAAATGCATGCAAACATACTCATCCTTATGGTTACCTGCACCTGACCCCGTTACCAGTACTTTGTCCACCTATAGCCTGGTGTCAAATCCTGAATGTGAATTCTCTGGGAAAAGGACTGTCTTTGTTCTACTCGTTTGTACAGCGCCTAGTACAATGGAGAGCTAATCCCTAACTAGGGTCTCTAGGCACTACCACAATGTAGTCTGCATCTGTGTGGCAGTGTCAGAGATGGATTGGTTTTGGGTACAGCAGGAAATACTGGGCCCTTTGTTTAAAATAGAAAACCCCTAACCTGTCTACTTGTTTTTTTCCTCTTCTCTCTATTAGGTTGTTTTTGTAGCCATTCTGCTTCACAGTCACTTGGAATGCAAAGAGCCTCTCCTTATCCCAATCTTATCCTTGTACATGGGGGCACTGGTCCGATGTACCACCTTATGCCTGGGCTACTACAAGAATATACATGACATTATTCCTGACAGCAGTGGGCCTGAGATGGGGGTATGTCTTAATGCCTGGTAGGACTTACTGTGCAATCAGGTTAGCTAGTGTTTATGAGGATTGTATGCTTTCTGTCCCTCAGAAAAAAAAGCACATCACGCTTAGTTTCAAACATACCCTTGTGCATACCAATTCAATGACAGTGTACGTGGCAGCTACCCGACAGTGTCCTGTGTGAGAGCGGTATAGTGTATCCTTATTTTAGTACCTCTATGGCTATGCTAAGCACATTCCCACTAATGTTATATTAGTACATAGGATCATTAGCACAGCAAATGTATTTATATGCTACAAGGATGACGTTGGAAACTGACATTCTGAGAAATTCCTCCCTGTGTGAGGAAGCTGTGTGTCAGAACACCTCTTTTTTTCCTTGAATGTCATGCAGTAATTCACAAATCCCTCACTGCAGATCAATGCCTTTATAACCGGTTGCCAGGACAAATTATGCAAATACTTTGTACATCAATTATTCAGATCTAGTAGGGCTGTTAAGAATGCACAGCTACCTTTAATTCTGTATCGCTAACGTGGGAGATTGCATTTTCATGTAGCATTCCTCTCTTAGGCTCTGGCTCTGGTGTGCTTTTGAATGAGGCGAGTCAACTGAGGGGTGGGAAAAGCGAGAAAAAATCCTTTGGTTGTGTTTTTGGTTCTGTCCTGCCTGTTTGTTTCAAAAGGGACTTTGTCTCTCTTACGCTGCAGGGAGATGCTACAATAAGGAAGATGCTGAGTTTTTGGTGGCCTTTGGCATTAATTTTGGCAACTCAGCGAATCAGTAGACCCATTGTCAACCTTTTTGTCTCCCGGGACCTGGGCGGCAGCTCTGCCGCCACAGAGGTATGTGAATCCCTGGGAAGCTGGGTGCCATTTTGTACTGAAATGTTTTATGGTTGTACTGCATTCCACACACAAAAGAAGTCATCCTTGCTTACATTTTCTAAGGAAGCAGGGTGTTCATTCCCATCCATATACAGCACCTCCTGATGTGTTTTCCTCTCATCCATAGGAACAGGGGAAAGTGGTCTCAAATGCAAATGCTAAGTGTGCATTTTCCCCAGGATGCTAAAAGCAAGCGGAAGATGTTGGCCTAATTTCTGCCTCTTAACATGAAGCCTCCAGTCCCACTTACATCCCACTCTAAACAATGTCTTATTAAATGCATCATGGGACCACAGATTCCAGTCAAGTATCCTGGGATTTCAAGATTTGCACAGTGACAGGCAATGAAAGCTCCAGAGCCTGTTGAATTCAGGATAGTTGTCTGGGGTCTCATTCCCCACTGTGTTGCCTCTTGCATATTTATTTACAGCTATGCAAAGCGATGTGACACATTACCATTATGATCTGTTAACTTTTGGCACAGTTGTAAGTGACTGTATGGGAGGTAAGGCATGGAAGAATCAAGCCCCTGGCTGGGATGTGAGTGCTTGGGTTGTTTCACATATACATACATACCTGTCTACCTCTTGGGCACTTTCTAAACTGGTTGAAGTAGGGTTCCAAAGGCCAGCTCTTGGCTCCATTGTCCCAAAGATGTATCCTGCTTAACTTCTTGAAGGTACCAGTTCTTTTATCTCTGTTAAGTGCTCACTTTCTGAAATACTCATCAGAGGTGACGTTCAAGCAGTCCACAGAGGCACAGGTTTCTTGTAACTACAACACAAAATCCTGGGCTTACAGAAAGTGTGCATCTTCATGTGGTCCTTCCCCCATTTAAATCACTGGGATTTTTGCCATTGATTTAAATGGGAGGAGGATTAGGGTTTTTTGTGATTTTTTTTTTTCCCTTTGTTTTTTTCAATAAGGGGAAAAAAACTAGGAAACTAAATGCAGGCTCCTACCAATGTGAAGGATGTACAGAAAGTCCTAATGTTAAGGTTTTCACAGACATAGTAACATGGCCCTGTTGGACATATATATTGGTGGGATAAATCCCATGACTGGAATATTGGTATAGAGGGGTATAGCTTGTTCAGGAAGGACAGGATGGGGGAGGCAAGAGGGGAAGGAATGAGGTATCACTTTATACATCAAGAATATATACACTTTTTCTGAGATCCAGAAGGAGGTGAGAGGAAGACCAGTTGAAAGTTTCTGGGTGAAGATGAAAGGGGAAAAGAAACATGGATGATGGCATGGTAGGGGTCTACTATGGGGCGAGGGATAGCTCAGTGGTTTGAGCATTGGCCTGCTAAACCCAGGGTTGTGAGTCCAATCCTTGAGGGGGCCACTTAAGGATCTGGGGCAAAATCAGTACTTGGTCCTGCTAGTGAAGGCAGGGGGCTGGACTCGACTCAATGACCTTTCCAGGGTCCCTTCCAGTTCTATGAGATAGGTATATCTCCATATATTATTATATTATACTATAGGTGAAAATCAGGAAGGAGTGGTGGATGAGGCATTTCTAAAACAAATAACAGAAATATCCAGAACACAAGGGGGACTTTAACTACGCAGGCATCTGTTGGAAAAGTAATACAGCAAAACACAAAATATCTAGTAAGTTCTTTGAATGTATGTGGGACAACTTTTTGTTTCAGAAACTGTAGGGAGTAAGCAGCAGTGACAGTCATTTTAGGCTTAATTCTGGCCAACAGAGTGAAATTGATTGCAAATCTGAAGGTAGAATGCAAATTGGGTGAAAGTGATCATGACATTGCTGAATTTAATTTTGTTGATTTCAGAGCAAAGACAAATTCAAAGTACTACACTTAGGAAGGAAAAAATCAAATGTACAACTACAAAATAGGGACTAACTGGCTAGGCGGTACTACTGCAGACAAGGATCTGGATCACAATCTGAATATGAGTCAACAATGTGATATAATTGTGAAAAGGGCTAATATCATCTTAGGGTGTATTAACAGGAGTATCATCTGTAAGACATGGGAGGTAATTGTCCTGCTCTATGGAACACTTGTGAGGCCTCAGCTGGAGCACTGCATCCATTTTTGGGTGCCACATTTAAGATAAATGTGGACAAATTTGAGAAAGTCCAGAGGAGAGCAACAAAAATGATAAAAGGTTTAGAAAACCCGACTTATAAAGAAAGGTTAAAAAGACTGGGCATATTTAGAGAGGGACCTGATAGCCTACAGATATGTTAAGGACTGTTACAAAGAGAAGGGTGATCATTTGTTTTCCATGTCCACTGAAGGTATGACAAGAAGTAATCCATTTAAACTGGGAGATTTAGGTTAAATATTAGAAAAACCTTTCCAACTATAAAGGATAGTTAAGCACTGGAATAGGTTACCGAGGAAGGTTGTGAAATCCCCATCATTGAATGTTTTTAAGCAGAAGTTAGACAAACACCTGTCAGGGATGGTCTAGTTTCACTTGGTCATGCCTCAGTGCAGGGGGCTGGACTAGATGACCTCTTGAGGTCTCTTCCAGCCCTATATATGATCCTATATCATATTTTTCATACACTTGAGAAATTCCATTGACAACATGTGTATAAGTGCTTTCAGGGATGGGCCTAACTATTTTAGGACAGTAAGCTATTCAAGCCAGGGACTTTGACTGCTTATGTGTTTGTGCTGTGCTTAGTCCAGTGGAGTGCTTGAGCACCATTTCAGTACAAGGGAACACAATAGGTTAACTAACCTCTCCTTTGCTTTTCCCGACTGTTGATGGTTTTAGATATGCCACTTAAACATTTGTTGAATAGATCTTTTGCCTTTCATTACTATTAATGGCAAAAGCATGTCACAGTTGTAGCTGGTGGCTGACTGGGCCTTCCTCGTTCTCAGCAGTTGTGCTTTTCATCTCTGGTTTCTGAAAGGGGAAGTGCTGGCAGCATAGACAATTGCCATACACTAGGCTTGAGTATAGGCAAGGGCTTTCAAATTTCCCTGCTAGCAGCTCTCAGTGTTTGGCTAGAAGAGATGGGGTGCCTGGAAGGAGATACAGCGTGAACACATTTATGAGGGTAACTAGCCCACATGCCTCAGTTGATTCCTGGGTTGTTGTTTTTTTTTACCAGGGTTGTCAACTTGGAGGTTTCCATTCATGTTAAAATCTCATATACGTTTATCAAAGTAGGAGAGTCATAGCCTGTGCATTGAGACACCATCACTCAAGTTAAAAATCCTGGAGGATATTTAAATACTAAAGCAATCTCTAAATTAATCTGAAGAGACTCTAGTACACATAAAGAGGTGCTAAACAGTGGGCTGAGCTATTGCTGGGCCCTGGTATCAAAATAAGTAAAGAATAAATCATTTCTATAACTATTCAATCAAATCAGCTTTCAGGTATATGAGAGATTCTACTGAAAACAGATGGTAGAGTTAAAAAAAAAAAAAAAAGCTAGATTCTTTGCAACTAAAAGAACACCAACTTAAATATCACTGATATATCTTACCTACTATTGGTACAAGTAAGGCTAAACAGTATTGTAACAACTAAATGGTTATAAAAAATATTTTCCCCATCTTTCCAGTTTACTTGGTGTATTGGACAGCACTTTATACCAGGGAAGGGGTAAAGCTGACTGGCTAGCCACTTTCTCCCATTTGTGTAGGTCTTTCTCACAACAGGAACCATTTCTAACAGCAAAATGTGATTAGATAATCACAAAAACTGGTATGGGGCAGTTAGCAGCAGAAGTGGTGTTTAAAGCTATTTTAACTCATTTTTTAAAAGTTGATTAGATCTCAAATGAAGGGTATGCTTTCAGCGTTTTTAACAGTAGTTTCTGTAGAAGGACAAGAAACAGATTCTATGTTGCTTGTGCACCCAGTGGGTGTTTCGTGAATTCAAGTCATGCAGGATTAGCCCCATAAGCCCTTTCTGATTCCTCTATTAGGAGACCAAAACACTGAGGATATGCCTATACAGGAAAGAAAAACCTGTGGCTAGCCCATATCAGCTGACTCGGGCTTGTGGGACTCGGACTGCGGGGCTGTTTTCATTGCAGTGTAGACTTCTGAGCTTGGACTGAAGCCTGAGCTCTGAGAACCTCCCACCTCACAGAGTCCTACAGCCTGGGCTCCAGCCCATGCCCAGAAGTCTACACAGCAGTGAAACAGCCTCGCAGCCTGAACCCCATGAGCCCGAGTCAGCTGGCCCAGGCCAGCTGCGGGTGTCTAATTGCTGTGAAGACAAACCCTGAGAGAGCAGTAGTAGTACAGACCAAAGAAATGTTTCTCTTCCACTAATGATCCATACCCAACTGAGTCTAAATTTAGCTGAATCGTAACAAGACAAGGAAGGCCTGATCCTGCAGACCCCATACAGTCAAACTGTTGGAGTGGGAATAGTAAAATTATCAAGTTCTCAGGCAATTCACAGACCTGACACCTACTTTGGCTCTGAGGAAGAGGAAAGTTATAGGGACAGTTTGCTAGTTTCAAGGCAGCATTAGAAGGAGCCTAAAGAGAATCTCCCTAAACTAGCTTCCCATGTGAACCAAGATACATCAGTTGAGAAGGGTAGGACTGAAATGATGGACATTTTTACTACCCCATCTTATCTGGGCCAACAGTGGCCAGAACAGTGTTGGGAAAATCTCACCAGCCTCCATAGGAAAAAAAAAAGGCAGTTTCAATGTTTGAAAATGTTTCCTTGATATATACAGTAATTTGACTTTTTCCTCAGGAAAGACGAAAACATAAACATCAGCAGCACAAAGCAATCTTAAAATCTGTTGAGATGTTAGTTTTTTTTGTATCTCATTTATGTAAATGGTACTTGCAAAAGTACTAGAGGACTTAGTTTTCTTAGATTTCAGGTAATGAGCTGGTTCTAGTGTTTAAAAACAACAATCTAGGATTATTTTTGTCTGATTTCAATTGATTAGTACAGGAGTAGGCAGAGTTTTCTGTCTCTAGGGTCCCTCTAGCCCAAAACAGTCAATCTGACATCCAAGGTGAGTCAGTCTGCAGGCTTTCAAATTACATTGCTGTAGTTCTTTTTAATTAAATAATTTTATGTTTCCGCTGTTTTACTTATGAACTTATAAACAAAATTGTATGAAAAAAATGAAGATAATGGAATACAATTAATAGAAAAAGCAATGTACTCTAGTGCAGTGTATGTAAGCCTCACTAGATCGAATAATTAATCAACATGGTAGAAAGAATAAAGGGAAAAAATCAACTCATTGATGAGTAAATAAACAGATTAAAAATCTACAATATAATCAGAGAATACTATAGTCATATATTTTCACCCAAGTTGAATTTTCCCTGAGTCTGAAATGCATCATAGAAAAACTGTTTCTATGATTGTTTTCCTGATGTAATGATTGCCCACTTGGTTGCCTGTCTCTTGTTGAGGTCAATAGTAACTGAAAATTGGATAAAAGGTTAGTTTATTTATGCTGTCTGAAGATTTGAAGTGTAAGTATGTTCTCTTTTCTCCTGTTGTAGGCTGTGGCAATTCTGACAGCTACATACCCTGTGGGACACATGCCGTATGGCTGGTTGACAGAAATTAGAGCCGTGTATCCTGCTTTTGACAAGGTGAGTATTTGTGTTGTATGATGGTGGTAAATACTTTGTAGTCCTGTTTCACATTCATGGTAGTTCTAGACCCAATTTTCCTTTGATTTACACCACTATAAATTAAGGATAGTTAGCAGAAAGCAGAAGAGTTACAACAGTGTAAAAGATGCGTAAGGGAAGAAGACTCATACACTAATCTCCATCTTTTCCATTGTGTGTGTGTGTGTGTGTGTGTGTGTGTGTGTGTAAGTAAGAATGACCACACCAATGGTCTATCTAGCCCAGTATCATGTCTTCCAACAGCAGCCAGTGCCAGATGCTTCTAGCATTTGCAGGTTTAGGGACACCCAAATCATGGGATTGCATCCCTGACCATCTTAATTTTTTTAACCCAGTAATACTTTTGGCCTTTACAACATTGTGTGGCAATAAGTTCCACAGGTTGACTGTGTGTTGTTTGATGTAAACCTGTTACCTATTAATTTCATTGTGTGTCCCCTGGTTCTTGTGTTATGTGAATGGGTAAATAACACTTACTTTCTTCATGCCATTCATGATTTTTAGACCTGTATCATATCCCCCCTTAGTCGTCTCTTTTCTAAGATGAACAGGCCCAGTCTTTTTATTCTCTCCTCATATGGAAACCGTTCCATCCCCCTAATCATTTTTGTTGCCCTTCTTTGCCCCTTTTCCAATTATAATGCATATTTTTTGAGATGGAATGACCAGAACTGCATTCAGAATTCAAGGTGTGGGTGGCCCCATGGATTTATATAGTGGCATTGTGATATTTTCTGTTTTATAATCTCTCTCTTTCTTAATGGTTCTTAACATTGTTTGCTTTTTTGACTGCCACTGCACACTGAGTGGATGTTTTCAGAGAGCTACACATGATGATTCCAGATCTCTTTCTTGAGTGGTAACAGCTAATTTATTACCCAGTTTTGTGAGATCCCTTTGTAACTCTTCACAATCATCTTTGAACTTAACTGTCTTGAGTAATTTTGTTTCATCTGCAAATTTTGCCACCTCAGAGTTCATCCCCTATTCCACATGTGTGTGTATATATTAGAGAGAGAGAGAGCACACACAAGCATGGCTCAGGCCATGTTGAATTAGTTGATTGATGTATTTTTGGTCCTCTATTTTTATTTTTTGTATCTATAATGTATTATTTTAACATCTTAGACCATCCTAAACTCTGAATTAGCATTAATTGTGCCTTTCTGTAATTTCAAGAATTTGTCTTATTTCTAGTTTTAACCTTACCTCTCAGTTTCCCGGATTTGAGGTTCTGGGTGGTTTTTGTTTGTTTTGAACATAGATAACTGCCATATTTCTGAAGTTTTTAAAAACTTCAGCGGTAGCTTCAGTTTAATTTAGCAATTTCCCTAATGAAGAACATCTTCATGAAATATCCAGCAGCTGAGGAACTCAAGTCTCATCTTCAAAGTTAGGCTGTTCTCTTGACACTACATTGTTTCTGCAGACTGGATTAGCTTAATTTGCTCATATTAAATGTTAAACAAAGGTTACTTCACAGGCTAAAACAAGCAGACAGTCCATATATTATTTCTATACTATGGACTTAACCGATCAAGGTGAATGAGAATTTTCACGGGAGTTCAGCAAGTTACATAAGAACTCCAGGACTGCTCCTGGAATTGATTTGAGGAAACAAAACAGAACAAAAAGTCCCTTAGTGTTTTAGTCTGAATTACATTTTGCTCTGACTTGGCACTGGTAACAGCCTACATACCTACACCAACACTTAATTTACATGATGACAGGTAACTGTGTTCTGTGATGTTCAAAATCAGATACCCAACCCCTCCATTCCCCAGCTGCTTGTACACTCCTGAATTCCTTTGGTCCCAATCCAGAGTGAATAAACACTTTTGTGTGGGGGGATGTATGCACGTACACAGACGTAAGTAATCAAGCCCTATTTGGTTTCATCCACCACACTTCCATCCAATTTTTAAAATAAGCAGTCAGTCACAATTGTTAACTTTATTTATATGAGGACAAGACTCTCATGCCAACTAAAGTTCAATATATAGACTTATTCAGGGACATCCTGCTGAATAGAGACTAGAATATGAAAATTGGGTAGCATCTTTGTTTGACACCTAGCGGTACTCTAGATCAGCAATAAACAAATAAACAAACTGCGGACCAGCATGGATTAGGACAAGGGTTGTGGAGCTTGCTAACAATCAGTACCGATATCGTGAAACTCATTGTTTCAGTGTACTGCATGTGCAAGTTACAACAATGAGACGATATGGAGACTCCACATACAAGGCCAAACCCTGGTGCCACTAAACTTGATAAGAGGTTTGCTATTGACTACAGTGGGACCAGGATTTGGGCAATATATGAGCTTTCATTTTCTAAAAAAAACTTCACCATTCAATAATTTCATTAATGACTTGAACGGTCATAGGTGGAGTGGAAAATAGGCTTATAAAATCTACAGATGATACCAAGCTGGGAGGAGTTGTAAGTAGTTTGGAGGACAGGATGAGAGTCCAAAAGGACCTTGACAAATTGGAGAATTTCTCTGAAATTAACAAGATGAAATTCAGGAAACAACAACGCAAAGTATTACACTTAGGAAGGAAAAAAACAAATGCACAACTACAGAATGAGGAATAACTGCAAGAAAGAATCTGGGGTTTGTAGTAGATCAAAATTGAACATGAGTTAATAATGCGATACAGTTGCAAAAAAGCCAAAAATACAATTCTTGGACATATTAACATGAGTAAGGGAGGTAATTTTCATTGTACTCGGAACTGGTGAGGCCTCAGCTGGAGTACTGACCAGCTTTGAGCACCACAACTTTAAGAAAGATGTGGACAAATTGGTGAGAATCCAGAGGAGAGCAACAAAAATAATAAAAAGCTTAAAAAGCTCAACCTATGAGGAAAGGTTAAAAAAACTGGGCATGTTTAGTTTTGAGAAGAGAAGACTGATAACAGGCTTCAAATATGTTAACGGATGCTGTAGAGAGAAGAGTGATCAATTGTTCTCCATGTCCACCTAGGGTAGGACAAGAAGTAATGGGCTTAATCTGCAGCAAAGGAGATTTAGGTTATATATTAAGAAAAACTTTCTAACTATAAGGGTAGTCAAGTTCTGGAATAGGTTACCAAGGGAAATTGTGGAATCCCCATCACATAAGAACGACCATACTAGGTCAGACCAAAAGTCCATCTAGCCCAGTATCCTGTCTTCCGACAGTGGCCAATGCCAGCTGCCCCAGAGGGAATGAACAGAACAGGTAATCATCAAGTGATCCATTCACTGTCTCCCATTCCCAGCTTCTAGCAAACAGAGTTTAGGGACACCACCCCTGCCCATCCTGGCTAATAGCCATTGATGGATTTATCCTCCATGTATTTATCGGGTTCTTTTTTGAACCCTGTTATAGTCTTGGCCTTCACAACATCCTCTGGCAAAGAGTTCCACAGGTTGACTGGGTCACTGGAGGTTTTAAGAAGAAGTTAGACAAAGACCTGTCAGAGATGGTTTAAATTCACTTGGTCCTGTCTCAGTATGGGGTGCTGGATTAGATTACCTCTCAAAATATCTTCCAGCCCTACATTTTTATGATTCTATAACACTACTTTATTTGATAACATTGAGAGTCAACAGTTCAAGTAGAAGCTAGTATGATTTGTCATAGCCAGCAGGTGGTACCCAAAAGAACAAGTTCATGTGGGGAAGGAGTTAGGATAGGAATCAAACAGGTATGATCTAATTGCGAAGTAAATCTAGGGTTGAGATTATACCTTTTGAAGAGCAAGGTGGTATGACACAGGCTGGGTATAGAGGAACCATTATTTTAAAAAAAAAATCTGTTCTCTGGCTGTGAATGCTTCAGCTATTGTTTTTGTTTGTTTGTTTTTTTTGGGTGTTGTGTAATACACACACAGAGTCTTCAGAGGGTCAAGAAAAATAATTGTTTTATCCCTGTTCATATTCATGCATCTGTTGGAAGCTATTGTTTCTTAAGACTGACCTGGGGGGAAATCCCTTCCTGGCCCCACATGTGGTGATCAGTTAGATCTTGAGCATTTGAGCAAGAACCAACCACTTGAGAAAGAGAGAGAGAATGCTCGGTGCCATCTCAGACTCCTGGCCCTCCCTGTCCAATTCCCATCTCCAGCTGTGGCCATCTCTGACACTTCAGAGGAAGCATACATTGGGGGTGGGGAAGAAGGAATCCCTTCCTGATCCTTCCAGGTGGCCAGCTAAAATCCCGAAGCATGAGCTTTTAGGAACATGAGATGTAAACTGGAAGTGAGCCCCAGCCCTGCACTCTGCCCCCTACCATCAAAAACAAACCCATCATACAGTTTCACTCATTCATTTGCCCAGCTCTCTCTCCAAACTAATCCGGAGTTGGGGGGCAAACAACTTCTATTGGGAGGCTGTTCCAGAGCCTTACCCTTCTCATGGTTAGAACTGGTTTTGTACAAATTGCCAATTTGTATGTGGGCATCAAAGTACAACTTGACATCCCAATGCAGAATGGGGTTCCGTAAGTTAAGTAATCACTTGTGAAAGTTTTGAGTCTGAGATTTGTACAAAAGCTCCTGAAATAGTCAGTGTGCTTTTAATCTGTCCCACATTCATGTCTGACACTCCCCTGGATGGGTTTGCACAAGTTCCGACTTCTCAGATTAGGTTTAGCAAGCCGTCCACACCAGGTGTCTGCCAGTTTGATATTCTTCTGCTTGAACTACATCAAGGCTGAGTAAATATTGTACTACATCAGAGATCTTATCACTTCTGGTGCCTACCCATGTATCTTAAACAGCCAAGTAGTCACGTCAATAGATGACTCTGCAGCCATTGTTCTAGGAGTGCCCTGCTTCTGGGTTTCTCTGCTCCCCTATCATAGCTCATTTATGTAATTTATCATAAGGATGTGTTCCCAGGCAGTAGTATAAAACCTTTAGCTTCATTTGTTGGTTTTAGGTGCTTTGGGGAATGAATGGGGGTTGGTTTTTTTTAAGCACACCTGCCACTGCGATGTGAGTGCAGAATCCATGTTCAGGATGGAAGATCTAGCTGTTCTAATTCTGTACAGTTCATCAGACTTAATTAGCAGCGCCAGGTGTTCCAAGATCTTTGTTTATATTCGTCACTCCCTGGCTAATTGGATCTGTATTGAGACAGGGGAGGTTGCATTGCTGTGTATATGCTGTGCCACTCTGTGTTAATGCGGGGACAGGGGGGAAAGGGAAGATAACATTTTTCCTGGCTACGATAGCGTCCTTACAAGCTTTAAGCAAAGATAGCCAACACCACACCAGTATCCTTAAAAAGAATCATTAAAACTTTTAAACAGGCATTACCACTTAGCAGTCTGAGGCAATTAGTAAACTCTGTGAGAGACCAGTTGAACAATGATTGTCAGTTCACATGGAAAAATATTCTGTGCAAGTGTCCTGTTTGGAAAAAAAAAAAAAAAAAAAAAAAAAAAGTAAGAACTATGCACACAGACAGTGAGATCCCCCTTATGACCCTGTTGCTGTCAGCTGCACAGCAGTCTGGAGCCATGTTAATGCTTGTTATCTCTTTCTCTCTCTCACCCTAGAATAACCCCAGCAATAAACTGGTGAACACCAGCAGCACAGTCACAGCAACGCATATCAAGAAATTCACTTTTGTCTGCATGGCTCTATCGTTAACGGTAAGGAGTCACTCGTCAACTCTTTTTAGTTTCAATCTGAAGCAAAAAATTACTGCACATGTGTGAAGCTGCAAACACCAAATTCAGATTACCAGAATCTCATCAACATATGGTGCCTACCCATGTATCTTAAACAGCCAAGTAGTCACGCCAATAGATGACTCTGCAGCCATTGTTCTAGGAGTGCCCTGCTTCTGGGTTTCTGTGCTCCCTCACTTTGACTATGAAGCTTAAGGCAGTTTCATCTTCTAAAATAGCCTGTGTGGAAGAAGTAGTGGGGCAGAAGGGTTCTGCTTCTTGATTTACTCAAAACAAATAAGAGAAGAGTAGCACAAAGTGGGTAACTTACATGCCTTATATATTGCAACGGAAAGGTTTTGTTTTATTTCTTGTTGTTTTATTGGCACCGCTATAGCACTCACCAATTTTTGTTTTAAAATAAGTCTGCAGGGATAGGGAAAGGACAAGGGTTCTGCATTTCTTCCAGAGAACAATAATTAGATGCTCATTCACCCAAGCTGGAGTGTGAAACAACAGCTGAGCCCCTGCACCCATAGTTTAGCTTGAATAAGACTGAGGACCAAATTCTGGAATCTCTGGTAGACGTTCTCTATGAGATGATGTGAACTCACCATGGCAAGGTAACTCAATTACCCTAATTAATATACTTTAGTTACTCTATCTTGGATGTTCAAAAAAAGATGAGCTCCCCTGGTTCAACATTTACTACTTAAACCCTGCATATTAGAAAAGATTTTTGTGGGGTATGAAGGCTCAAAGTGTATTTCATTGTTTTACTTATTGAGCTGCATTTCCATTCAAGTTCTGCTTTAAGCTTTGTTACTTGTTGTCTTACTTAACAGTGGGCACTTTTTTAAAACGCAACAACTTTCAATTTTTACAATATCACAGGATTTTTTTTATCTGATTTGTGGATGCAAGTGATTTGTGCCCAAAATAATCAAGTTGTTTCATTGTCAGAATCCTACTATTGAAGGCTGCTGGTTGTTGTGCACCCTAAGAACTGCATAACTGCATCTGCAAAACTACAAATAGAGACTGTTTCTCAAAATTTAGCAGTAAGGTGCATGGACAGTGATGATATAGTAATAAAAATGTTACCAGTCAGCCGTCTCTCTCTCTCTGCATATTCATCTGTGCTAGCATGAGTTTGTGGTTTGTGAATGTAGCAGAATGCTGAATCACTGAAGATATGCTGATCGCACTCTTTGGAGTTAGCAGCTGTTGCCTGGACGATCCTTGTTTATTACTGCTCACTGTTGAATTTAAAGTGGAAAAATAATCACATGAGAGAGAGGATTTGAGTTTCAGGGTTTTGGTTTGTGTTACATCATGCCTTTCCATGGAGCAAATACTGATAGTAACATCACAGGCCTGTAACTTGTCCCTCACCCCTCCTTCTTCCCCCTCCCAAACCCATGTTAAATCAACTAGAAATGTCTCCAAATCTTGTCTTGGGGTTGGGCTGTGGCAGCTGAGCCTGTTCCAGACAAAGCTTTGCTTGATGAGTCTCTTAGCTTGTCTTCTGTAGAATGGGAACTATTTTCTGAACCCACATCATCCCAGAAATGGCCAGCATAACAATGCGTACAACATATCTTTTAAAACGAACAGGAGTACTTGTGGCACCTTAGAGACTAACAAATTTATTAGAGCATAAGCTTTCGTGGGCTACAACCCACTTCTTTTGTAAAAACATATCTTTTGTAAGGCCAGTCTTTCTGCACCAAGGGTCTGTTTAGAAGCAATTCTAACAAGCAGTTGTGGAGAAGCGTTACATTTTTATGACTTTTTCCTTCATCATATTTTGAGGACAATTCTCTTTCCTCATTCTGAAGAGGAAACTGGACCCCCAGCCAAGAGAGTAACACAGCCTTCGACATAGACTTCAGTATCAAAGCAAGTGGTGAAGAGGATGGTCATGGTAAATACAACTACTATTTTGGCATACGATGAAAGAAGTGTTTATACTAATGCTCAGCATACTCTTGAGCTTGTGCTAGTGACAAGCATGCATGGACACAGTTGTTGCTAGCAGGTTTGAAATACAAGCACACTCCCTGATGAGCACAGAAAGCCATGCTGTGCAACATCCACGCTAGCTCAACAGTGTTACAAAAACCTATAGGGTTTCTCTCACAATTTAGGTCCACCGCTGTTAGAGTCTCTAAGTTATACTCCAAACAACTTGTTAGTGATGACAGGCTTTTGGCTTTGCTTGATTGGCCACAGGTTGGCTGCTTCCTGGATCTCTGGTGTTGTGTCCCCTTTATTGCTCAGGGCTTTCTCTAGATCTTCTGGCTCTAACTTCTCCCAAGTCCAAGGTGACTGTCTCTCCTGCAACATGGGCCCAGCAGAGAGCTAGACCCTTCTGCAGCCTGCCAGAGTGCTCTGACTCACTGGAGTCACTTTTCAGAAAGCCTTTCCTCCTCCCAGATTGCAGCACTTGTATTTCAACACTCAAGGCTTCATATAAACTGATTATTTTCTTAACCCTCTTAGGCATTTTTCAGCTTACAAAGGTTCTGATAAATCCTGAGCTTCTCGCATTACCGGCACCACCCTGCGCAGAACTATTTTTAACCTTCTGATTAGGCTTTTCTTTTATAGCTTTCCAGACTATTTTTACATGCTTGAACCTATCTCCCTCTACTCAATTGGCACCATTTTTTCATAAGCTCATAGTAGGAAACCCATCTGTCTAGAAGTACCCGGAACAGTCTATTTCCATGGCTTTTCTTGACTATTTTTATTTGTGCAGCATTACCTAGGATCATTCACCAATAAACCCAACCAAAAAGTAGAACCATTAGTAGAGTGCATTTCCTAGTTAGTCCCTCTTGTCTGTCATACTATTTGCTGGGAAAGTCTGTCTATCCAGGGCTAAAGTATAGAAAGCCAGCTTACAGGCCTGATTCAATTCAGGGGCTTGATCCTGCAAACATGTGCACATAGGACTTTAGTGGGACTTAACTTTCTTCATGTTATTTACATAGTATTTAAGTATATTTATATTTATTTAAGTAGTTGTAGGGTTGAACTCCAAATTTGCATCTGCTGCAGCCAATTCAAACAGCTACAGTAGCTGTTCCTTTATCTGAGGAAGAGCTGTTTCCATCACCATTAGTAACTGCTCTGTTCTTCTGGACCAGCCCTACTGCAATATATTGAGTCTAATGGGATCACTGTCCATGGGGGCTCAGCATGTTAGCAGGTCTCCTTAGTATCCAAACATAGAGGAGGAGGGGATATAGTTCTTCCCAGGCTGGCTGAACACAGATCAGTCAAGATGGGTATTTGACCATGCCACCTGAATGGGTCTTTCTCTGGTTGATTTGGAAAGGAACCCATCAGACAGGGAGATGGAGAGGGACCTTTTGCAAAAGTGATAACCCGGTAAGAAAAGAGGTTCCAAACAGAATGCCCTGGGGTATCCCCCGCTCCAGTGATGGGGGACCGTGTGTTACTACCACCACCACTGGACACATGGTCCCCATCACTGGAGCGGGGGATCCCCCACGGCATTCTGTTTGGAACCTCTTTTCTTACTGGGTTAGGGGGAGGGATAGCTCAGTGGTTTGAGCATTGGCCTGCTAAACCCAGGGTTGTGAGTTCAATCCTTGAGGGGACCACCTAGGGATCTGGGGCAAAATCAGTACTTGATCCTGCTAGTGAAGGCAGAGGGCTGGACTCGATGACCTTTCAGGGTCCCTTCCAGCTCTATGAGATAGGTATATCTCCATATATATATTTAACTGTTGAGAATAGCCCACTTCCACCTTAATTGAACTGGCTCGTTAGCACTGACCCCACACTTGGTAAGGCAACTCCCATCTTTTCATATGCTGTGTATTTATACCTGCCTCTGTATTTTCCACTCCATGCATCTGATGAAGTGGGTTTTAGCCCACGAAAGCTTATGCCCAAATACATTTGTTAGTCTCTAAGGTGCCACAAGGACTCCTCGTTGTTAAGACTCCTTGTTATCCAACATCAGAATGCCTCTCAGTGGCTTAGCTGCACTAAAAAAATCTTTCATCTAATTGTTTCCCTCCCTGCCCCCCCATCCCCATGATATTTAAATATCTGAATTTCAATGGCCTCTCATACACACAAGCTCTAAAAATAGGACTGTTGGGAGGGAGCTGCAGCTGGCTCTTAATCAGAGGTCTCATTAATCTGATTAATCAGACAAGCTCTCTTATTTATGGTAAATCCTACAGCTGTTTATCTATTTCTGTTCTTCACAGCCTTTAAATGAAACTGCTCGTCAAAGGAAACCTTCTAGTGAAACTCGTGTAAATGCCCAGACATCTTCCACCAAACAATATTATTAATTGCAGTTTCACTACACAAGTAGGTTTAACAAATCTCCAGCAAGATGCTCTGCCTCAGAGTGAAACAGTGTTGACATGACCAAAGGACTGGCTTACTATACTGATCTATCAACTGTCAGATTAACAGTTGACAAGAAGGGGACTCCTCGTTGTTTTTGCTGATACACTTACATGGCTACCACTCTGAAAGGAGTTTTAAATAATTCAAGCTCCGTTTTGAGAATGTGCTTATGTCACATTTTCCTTTTTTTTGCTATAAGTAGTCATAAGGCACTTTGGGCACAGATGTTCTTGCACAGAGTATGGCTATTGTTCCTCACACAGGGTACATCTACACTACAGGGGGGAGTCGATTTAAGATACGCAAATTCAGCTACGTGAATAGCGTAGCTGAATTCGACGTATCACAGCCGACTTACCCCGTTGTGAGGACGGCGGCAAAATCGACTTCTGCGGCTTTTTGTCGGCGGCGCTTACTACCACCTCCGCTGGTGGAGTTAGAGCGCCGATTCGGGGATCGATTGTCGCGTCCCAACGGGACGCGATAAATCGATCCCCGAGAGGTCGATTTCTACCCGCCGATTCAGGCGGGTAGTATAGACCAGACCACAACTTCTGTTGATGGCATTGGGTACTCCTTGG